TTAAATACAAATCGGGAGCTCCGTCACGAACACGTTGATTATTTATTTTTTTTTCAAAATTTGGCGGTTTCGTAAAACATGGAAGTATTCCCATATAGATTATCTACCCTATCAATCTATGCACAGAACAGAAGTAAGTGGATTGCATAAATATTACGTATGCAAAATATGTAAGAATTTATAATGGAAATGGAAGCGTATGTCAATGTTAACAATAAAATTTTACAGAAGTGGAGCATTTAAACAGCCAACTCCAACGATAACCAACAACTTCCTTTAGAAATAGATTAATTTTAAACCTTTTCTTTAAATTCTTGTCAAATGAAGTCAGGTATGCTCTTTGATATAAATTTTTTAGAATTAATTTGAATTTTGGACTCACTTTTCACTTTTTACGATAAATAAAGACACACAACTTCATATCATATCACGACTCATATTCTGAGAAATATCGTCGAGTTAATATTTGTAAACAATTAAGGAGAAATATCGGGGTCAGAGGAAAGTGAGGAGCGCAGGGGGGGGGTCCTATGCTTTTCTTATGGGACTAAAGCCCGCTGCCAATTTGAAAAAATTAAATTCTATTGAAATTATTTATAAAACAACGAGAATTAATTTAGTTCTAAAGAAATGAAATGACACTCGCGCCCATCTCTCGTCCAAGTCAAAGAAAATGTTGGATGCAATTTTGAAGGTTCTGTGATAGAAATTACATTATTACTACTGTTCGTGTTTTTAATCTCTATTTTATTAATGTTACAAAAGTTTTGCAACTATAACTAATTTTTTAGATATAAATTTTGGTGAGAAATATTTCAGTTCCTTTGTTATTCCGTACAAATGCTTTTATCTCAAGTATTACTAATTATATTAATCATGTAAAGAAAACTTTATGTAACCCTAAATATTGCTGGGTAATGATTATGATGTTTTTATAAACCATTAAATATATTAAAAAGGATTTATCAACTGTATTTTTTATTCAAATAAATATAACAGAGCTTTATAGTATTTTTTAATTAATCTGGTTTTTTAAAAACATTACAAAAAATCATCTGTTGTGGATAATTTATTGTTGATAACAAAGTACATGGGATTTAGAAAAAATGTATGTTTAAAATCAATTTCGTTTTTAATCAAGTCTTTCAAATGTATTCCCCCCTTGCTGTCAGCTGATTGCGACGTTGCCACATTAATCCTCAAGTCAGACAGAAATTCAAATATTCAGTTTATGTTTCTAATTAATACAGCTGCAGTATGTTCAAAACTTACATTAGTTTTACATCAAAAATAAGATAATACTGTGTACTATCTATGGAAAAGTTTAGTTTCACAATATCTACATTTTTTTTCTAAGTTATGGGCAAAAAAAGAGCCGCACCGTCCATCTTCGCCATATAAACCTAGGTTAAAATGAACAACTTTCAACAACAATATCTCAAAATCTAGATTCAAAAAAAAAAAATTCAAAAAATATGACGCATAGAGGGAGCACTGGGTAACACGCTATATAAATTTCAAGTACATCTGTACATTTGAGTAAACCCGATATACCTCCTTAAAGATCTAACAACTTCAATACAATATTTTCGTATAAAGTAATAACTTGAGATGATACAATTCAGGTCACAATTTTCAGACAATAAAATTCACGAGCACTGGAAGCACATACTAAACTATTTTACCATAACCTTAATCGGAACCTACATTATAAAACTACCACGAAACACTGCAGGTCGTATATTAATAATCATACCTATTATCTTGAGAATCGCCTATTCAAGTCTGACCTAGTTTTGGATTTTTTTTTCTCTGAACCATATTACAATACGCGATGTAAATTCGAACGTGTAGGTGTATTTATTGACGCAGTGAGGTTAAAACTTTACAGACATGTTACCAGAAGCGCATTAATTAAATTTTAATCGGTCTAACAGAGGGATTCGTTGAATTATTCATGGACTCCGTATCCTTCCAATTACATAAGCCCCTTCCTCGATGTTTATAATCATTTTTTTCAGCCAAAGGAAACTTTTATTGGTGACCGTACGGGTGAAATTACCTACAAACCAAACTGAACTTCACCATGCTTTTGAAAACTCTATTACTAACATTTACCTTAACGAAGGTTCTTGTGCAGATTTGCATTGCATTGCTTTCTACATTTACTACAAATTGAGCTATAAAATTAAGTCTGTTTTCAATGTGACACTCAGGCAAATACTCCAAATTATTAATTTTGCAGTCATGATACCCATTGGTCTTTAAAATTCGTTGAACAGCTGATTTATCAAAATTCAATTCCCGGCTAGCCTGCCGTTTAGAATTTCGTGGATTTTGTTCGAAATACTGTAACGGTCTAGCTGTATTAACATTGTTTCTTACCCTTCGGTCAATTATTTGTTTTTTCCGAACAGAAAATACATCTTCATTTCACCGAAGGTCACCTCCAATCTTGTAAAGGTTCTATGATCAGGAATGAGGCGCTCCGGATACCTTCCTCGATATAACCCTACAGCTCTTCTTGAATTTTTTTGACATTACAATTAGCAACATGTCAACTTTTTCTGAATGAGAAAACATTTTGTAAGCACAAAAGTTATACGTTTGACGTTCGTATTTGAGCAATGACAAGTATTTTGCGACATTTATGCACTTTAAACAACGAACATTCAATTGTTTTCCAACGACTACTTGATCCTTCCACCGCTAATGTGATTTTTAGGTGGTATTTCTTTTGAGACTCTTAAAGACGATATTGCTTATAACATTTAAACGGGAAGTAATACAGAAAAATTTCTCTAATAAAAGTTTATTAGAAAAAAGAGAGCTTTTTAACAGGAAAAAAAATGGGTATGTTCTGGAAAAAATATAATTTATGACGTCATTAGCGGTTTCCGTCAAATTCAAAGATAACACCAACCACGTGTCCCAAATTTTATTTACATGTTTTGTATTCTCACAGTAGGCCCATGCTGTCGAGTTTGAGACACCGTGTACAATTAGGAAAATGTCATCTGTAATATTTCTACCAAATAGTAACAATTTAGGTACAATGCTCAATGATTGTCATTTGTTTCTCGAAATGCAAAGAAAATGCAAGACGCCACGCCACTGTCATAATTATAATATTAGTTTTGTGGCATTAATTCATACGAAAAAGGCTCGTCGCCTCATACATTGATATTTACTTACTTAATGGCTGTATAAAACCTAACTTCGTAACGGATGTTGGCTAGTGGTATTGAATACCTTTGCCGGAAGTCACGATTAAAAATATATACATATATTTTTTTATTTTTTTGATATTTCATTCAACTCCACGCGGTACGATGATTTAATTTGTGGCGTTCCTTCTGGGCAGAGTAAGCGATAATCGAAGAGAAGCCACAGTTAAATCCGTACAAATGGAAACTGGTCTATTTTTACGGAATGCGTGGACAACTTGCCGCCATCGGAGCCAACTACAAGAACGAAACAAAAATAAACCGCTACAAGCCAACTACTGAATTAATTTCGGATTTAATTAGGCAGCTAATTAAAGTGTTTAACTCAATTATCAACACAAAGAAAAACTGGCACCTAACGCCAAGCTAACAAACAAGAAAGAAAGTACGCGATATGGGCGATATACTTTCCACATACTTTCTGTCAATTTTTTAAAGAAAATTGATTTTAGATGTTATAGAAAAGAAACTACTAATTGATTTAGGATGAATTATAAACAGATTTAAACAAAATTCCAGATTGCAAATACAAAAGCTTTTTGTCAATACCTCCAACTCAATTATCTAAAAAAAAAAAAAATTGTAAAATCCTTAGTTTCCAAGAAAAAAATTATTGTAGTTGTAGTATTTTTAACCTTTACATCGCTGGGCTATTGCAGTCTTTAGCATCATTTGCATTATTTGCGTTGTGCGCTGTGCGATTCTGGATACTGAAATTCGATTTTAGTACTATCGTTGTTGCGAGAGTGTTTACATTAGTTTTTCAAGTGTCAAAAATGGCTCATGTGCATAGCAACTCGGAATTGATGAATATCGTTTTAATTTATGGCGAAGCAAGACCAAATGCTTTAGCGCCTTCTTGTGTGCGCGCAAAATGAATTCCCGGTAGACATTGCAGCAGCTGAGGAACGCCTTTTAGAGATTGTTAAAGAAAACCCCTGAATGAGTACCAGACAAATAGCTCAACAAGTACAAGGAATGTCCCAATGAACAGTGTGGCGTTTTGGACTTCTTTTTGTGGGGATACTTAAAAAATGAAGTGTATGGCATCGCAGTGAACACTATTGATGATTTACGCGAACGTATCATAGCTACTGCCAATAACTTACGGGTTGAAAACAGATAAGTACCAGAAACATTTATGTTAGTTCGTAGAAACTGGGTAAGGTGTTTGACATACACCTGGTATGTCAAAGTATTTTATTAATTACAACCACAAATTAATTTTATTTATTAGTAATAACAATAGCGGCAAAAGCAGTTGAATTTGTTGATATAAAATTTTATTTAGGAAAGAAATTCTTAAAATTTTTTATTCGCTCATTTCTTATTACACTTTGCTGTCGTTTCGGTCGCCGTTTGCATGTTTTGCCTTGCGTAAGATCAGGTTCTAGAGTGGACCAGTTTCCAGGGCCGTGCAGAAGTGAATTTTTAAATAATTTTCGAACTACCCTTTTTGTTTTTTTTTTACAAAATTGTATTTGTAACATTCTGCACCTTCAAAAATTGTTGTTGTTAAATCACCCTGTATACACATATTAGCCAAGAAAAGCGACGTTACGGATCGAAAACTACCTCGCTTACACAAAGTTCTCATTTCGTCAAAATTGCTAATTTTTTAAAGAAACCAGACGGAATTCTACTATAAATGTACTTAAATACAGTTACTATTATGTTTGCATATACGGACAAATGTAAGGGATGGTATTTGCTCTCACAGTTAACACCTGGAGTTACAATTTTTTTTTTGGTCACGAAAGGAAGGTTACTGACCTGAGAATCTTGCTAGGAAGCGGTGGAAGCCGGTGGCGAGAGCTTGCGCCAGGCACCGAAGGGCGAGGGGAAGGCAAGCACACCGCCCCCAGCCCCTTGACGGCTGCATCACGTGCGCCACTGAAACAGAAATGAAGAAATAAATATAGTTTCGGCTCAAAAAGAAATCAGATAAAAATATGTAAATATTTAAACACTATATAAAGCGGTTGACTGATAAAATGCATAATAAAAAACTCCACACAATTTCGTCACGATTAATAGCTATGCTAATTGTTCAATCAACTTTTTTCATATAAGCATTTGTTTCAATTGTGTTTACCTACTTCAGTTCAAGAATTTAAATACATGCAACCAAAGGATATATTTTAACAATATTCGACATATTCCGCGGATAAAAATCAGCAAAAAATGCACTTCCTAGATAGAATCCGTCCCGTCGAATTATCTATTTCCTGGATATTGGGGATATTATTAAATGCTAATCGGAGCGTATATCATTAGTTAAAGAGTTCATATCGCCTAGTATTATACCAGTCATGATGTCATAGCACCTACAATTAGTAGGTCACTCTGTGCCAGTAGGTATTCGGTAGCAATGTCACTGAAGATGTGATATATGACATGTTAAATATGCTTTCTATTATATCTCACCCACACTCAAATGTAGATACTTTTGAAACTTTAAGAAACATCTATTAAAAAAATTCAAAAGAATTGAAGGTCACTATTTCGGAAACGATGCTTTCTGGGTCAAGGGCTGTATAAACGTTTTTGATTTTTGTTTGCATAATGTTCTATTAAAATGTGAGCATTCCCCATAAAACACTCTGTACATTTGTATCATGCATACATATCCAATGATCTTAAAATATTAAACAAAAAAAGTGGTAAACGCAATATTACAAAATATTACTCAAGCTCGTAGACAAAATGACTTTTTAAAAGGTTTCGTCATTGCGAATTATCTTCAATGTAACCACCTCTCGTTACAGCAAAGAAACATTAACAAATAAATTGTGGAATTGTAAGAGAAATTAAGTTAGTAAAACTAAAGTGATCAGCAGTGTGGATATTGTTGTACTTAATGATTTTTACAACAAATACGGTGATATTAATTACAAATATTTGTATATAGATAAGGGAATTTAGCAATGTTTAACAATAATTATTTAAAGTTGCAAATTGTTGATGTTTTTTATGTAAAAACTAAAATTATCACTGTACAAACACGTTTTAATAATAGCTGTATTTATTTAAAGAAATTGCCACATCAACTGTAATATTCAATTTAATGACACCCACTAAACAAATCAGTTGCTGACTCATTACAAAACAGATTCAGATCAAATAAAAAATATTTAAGATTGCAGTATAAATAACTAGACCTCAAATTAGAGGTTATTCAATTTTTTTCCCCACTGGTGTTTCCTTACAGACTAAATGACATCTATTAAATTGCTACTAACTGCAGACCAAGGTCATTAGAGGCATAATTTGGCATACAAATATTTTATTATCATAATACATTTATAATACATATAATACATATATTATAATACATTTTTTAAGTGACACAACTGTATATGGTCAATCTCTAGTTCAAAATAAAATCAACTATGGAAGACGCATTGCTAAAAATTATAAATTTTCATTGGCAAAAGGTTTTCTTTGAAAAATTCTCAATTACTACGCAAGTATTTCATTGGAACTAACAAACCCATTTGAAATAACGGTGAATTAGTGTTACGTATTCACTGGCTATACGTAGTAGCATAAAATTTCAGTAGGCGGAAGGCAACAGAAGATTTTAATCGTTTACACATCACACGCTGTACGAAGGAAAGCAAGTTATAACAAGCCAGATAATACGCAAACATCAGATGCGGACTGTTTATTATTAATGCGCGCAGATTAGTTATGATCCAAATCGACTTCCGACAAAAAAAATTGCACTGGTTCGTATAAGATTTGTATCGTCACCCACATGAGAGGATATTATGAACTATTTTCTTACACATAACCGTATACAAGTATGATTATTATCGCCTGAAATATTTATGTTGTGATTAATTTTTAAAACCATCTGATATAGATCTAGTTTGCTTTATCAGGTGATTTAGATGTACCTAAATATAAGATTATGTACAAATTATCGGTAACAGGATATAATACTACGTTACGAACGTTTTTAAAGTTACTTATTTTCGTGCCCTTCATCGCCCTTTTCATGGAACGCAATTATTTCAGAACCACCCTGTATAGCATAACGCTCTGTGTAACTTTAGCGTTATAATAGAATGGCAGTACACGATTGCTCGCTCGTCCAATACCGTCCATACAGACCAGTAAAAAAATTGTTAATGTGATTGTACTGACATACAAATAAAACATATAGACTACACACTTTTACGTATTATGCAACGCAGATCAGAACCGATAACCTAACTTGTACTAATTTATTCTAATCATCGATTAGAATGTTAAAAGAGAATGTTATTAAAGCAATTATTAGACAATTCCGTAACCTTATGCACAAAACATATAATTACAATAGCGGTAATTATAAAACTTGGAATAAAAATAAGCTAAAATTAGAAACGTTCCAGTTATCAACGACAGTTTTAAATAAATATAAATTAAATATTACCTGGTTAAATATATGTAAATTAGCAAATAGTAAAAGCCTATTTTTTTTTATAATTAGTACCACGAAAATTGTATGCGAGACACGAGGGTTGTTTTTCTCATCGTACAAGTACAGCATCAGGATATTTGCCTTTTAAATTATGCGGATATCCTGTATCCTAGCTCAATTGACAGCATGTAGCTAGGCCGTGCTTTCTCATATTTATGAATTTAATTTGCATTAATAATACCGATATTTCACAAAACCCATTGTTTTCCACTCTATACGATCAATTCAATTAAACGAGTTTATCTGTAAATTGAATCTTTTTGTGATTTAATTACGCTGTTTTATCGTCAATTACAATCGGAACTAATTGAAAGTTCAAAAGCTAAAAGGCAAACTCAACAGATGCTATCTAGCAGTAATGATTTATATAAATGTGGTAGTAAATAGTGAATGGGTTTGAACTTATATGACACTTGTGTATTCAATTTATTTAACTATTTTTCCTGGAAATACTGTAAAGGTCGATTTTTTTTAAATAAGGACGAATACAATAGCAGAAAGCAAACTCCATCAAGTTTGAGTGAACAACTCAATTTGAAAGCTTACATCAATTTAAGGGAATTATAAAATAACGAAAACGTTTGTTAATTTTTCATGAAATACATATATACTGAAAATTGTACATACTGTTAGAAGTTACTGAAACTCAAATAATAGGTACTAGCAAATCGTTATAATTCCATTTTACAAAAAACTTTTTTTTTATTATAGGAACTTCAAATTCGACATTATACTGACTGTGTTGTATTCGTAATTTAGTTAGCACGTTTTGTTGGTGCGTAACAAAATTTTCAATTTCTTTTTAGATTTACTTACAATGGAAATAATGACGGATAAAATCAGCAGTGGTCTATTCAAGAAATGACAGTTAGTGGAAATCATAGCTTGCAAAACCAATGAACATTGATTTTTTTATCTAACGATAGTAACTAGGCAATATCTATAAAAGCGTTGAACATTTCACAAAGGTAGTACCTTGGTGATCCGATTTCTATATATAAATAAATCAAGAAGCCTAAATGCCCATCTTCCAAAAATAAATATACAGAATTAAAATGGATTTTGGGCTCGGTGTTGTTAATCTCATACAATAAGAACTTACGTTTCTTAATAGAGTAAAATTAAAGTAAAAACAATATAATGTTTTATGATGTAAAAATTTCTAACAAAGTTTTAATGGCAAAGAAAAAACGATAAAAAACGAAATAAGTAAAACTTTTAAATTTTTTTCTAGGGCAACTTCTAAGCTGGCAGTCCAATATTTCATAGACGTAGGGATAATGAATTGTACAGGACGTTTCAGGACTATCTATTAATATTAAAATTTAAATTTGGATAGTCGAAATAAGAAACAAAAAGTACCATGAGGAAACAGCTTCATTTTCGAGGTACATGCAGACATTTTTTATTCATTTAGCCACCTAAATTCTAAAATTAAATTTGGCCAATTATTGCAGAAAGACGAATAATTTAAATGTTACTTGGTCAATTTTGTAATTGGTAAAAACATTTAAGAACAAAATGCCGAATTCAATGGAAATGAGTGTCAAAAATTTTAGAACCCAAAAAAATAAAACGATTTTTCCCTAAACCCATGGCCGATTTTTTTAATCAAATATTAACCGTACCTCTTCCAAAACAACAATGAAAATAACAGCATCACACTAAAATTATTGTACAAGTACTGTATTGAAATTTGGTATAGGCAAGTTTTTGAGTCGTCGCTTGTTTTTCGCCATCCGCTAGAGGCCGCTAGTCGTTACTATCGCTCTCAGTGACATTTTATTTAACACTTTTGTTTGAGATTTTCTTATTTTTCGTGTTTTATTTCTCATTCCCGCAAAAATAATTTAATTTTGACGAAGCTTGGTGAAAGTATACCTTTCTGTGCTTAAATAACCACAATTTTTTACATTAAAAAATCTAGAAGTTTCCGAGATATTCATTTTTTCCAGTCTGGAACACTGTTTTTTCGAAGAAAAATTCTACTTCTAATTATTTTTTTCGTTTTGACAAATACTTTTTGCTAACATGCTCAAAAATGCAAAAAAGAAAATAAAAAATGACTTGCAACAATGAATTTTTCAATAATTGTTAATAATTTGTTTAAATTTTAAACAAATTCAAAAACTGATGACATCATTCAATATGGGATATTTTGTGCTGTATTTACTTTTATACTGTTATGACTTCCTCCAATAGATATTTTGAAAGCGTTCAGAGCCGAACTCAGGAAAAATTTTAAATGACAGCTAAAAACCTTTTTAAGAGATTACAATAGTAATATCATCTAAGTCAGAATTAAAAATGACTTCAAATTTTGCCTTAAAAATAGCAGTGACGTATTTAAAAAAATTAAGTTGATGAAAACCCCTCGAAGACAAAACGTCGGATTGCAAAAATGTTGACGCCATTGGATAGA